CCAGGTGCCCACCGTCACCCAGGTGGGGTCCCCCCGCGAGTCCCGCCGCAGGCTCCAGACGTGGAACTGCTGCTCCGGCCGCACCAGCGTCGCGTTCTCCACCCGCACGGTCCCTGTCCGGCCGTGGAAGGACGTGTTGGCCATGAACCTGGGGGGAACGGGGGGCGGTGGGTGTCACGGCTCCAGTGTCACCAGCTCCTGCACCGCAGAACAGGGCTTGGGGCCGGGAGCAGGAGGTGCCAACTCGGGCAGAGAGAAGGGCAGGGAGGAGCAGCAGGATGCGGCCCCGTGGCTCCCTGTGCTGGCAGGGCCAAGCGTTATTAATATTTATAGAGCAACCGAGCTCAGGCAGCACCAGGGAGATCTGAAGTGACATGTCCCCCCTCTCTGTGCAGCCGCCACAAGGCACGTCCGAGGGGACAGCAGGGACCAGGGGGGATCTGAGCCCCACGGTGGCAGCTACACATCAGGGACCGCACTGAGATCTGTGCCCTGGTGTCCCCCAGCTCTATCCTCACCCCATCCCCGGGCTGGGGCACAGCCCCCCTTGTACCCTGGTACTATAGAGCCGGGAGGGGGAAAGGGGTACCCGCAGCACCTTCCTTACCGGGAGAGGAAGAGCCCCGAGGACTCACTGCCCGCCCGGTGCCTGTCGTTGCAGTTCACCATCGTCTGCAGCAGAGCCAGGTCGGGGCGGACGCGGGCGGCGCTGCCGATGGCCCGGGACACCAGCTCCACCGCGTCCTGGATGAAGAGCTCCAGTGGTGGCCGGCTGACCTCCCCGTAGGCCAGTAGCCCCAGGGGCAGCCCCTCGGTCTGCAGCTCTCCAGCACTGAGCGGGGAGCCCAGCATCCAATGGAACTCCTGCGGCAGCAGCCCCGACTCCTCGGCCACCTGGAAGATGAGCCGAGCGCGCCGCAGGTCGCAGCCAAGCACCAGCACGGGGCTGGAGAGGGCCCTGAAGTGCTCCCCGTGCTGCCGGAGGTAGCTGGTGGCCCCAGGCTCGTCCAGGTAGCCGAGGTCCAGGACGGTGCGGAGGAAGAGCCGGGAGCGTCGGGCCCAGAGGCCGAGGAAGCCGGAGACGTCCCAGGGGTGGCAGAGCACCAGGTTGGTCTCCTGCCAGTCGTTGGCCTGCAGGACGCTCACCAGCACGTCCACCAGCGTCTCCAGCGAGCTCTGCCGCTCCATGTGGAAGTGGAAAGGGCTCTGCCGACACACAGGGGTTGTGGCTGTCCCCCTGCCCTGCTCCTGCCCGTGGGAAGAGCCCGAAGGCAGCAGCAGGCAGGGTCCCTCCCACCCCAGAGATCCCCCCCAAGCCCCCTGCCTGCTCCCTGCCTGCTTCCAGCCCCCTCCCAACCTGGGGAGATGGTTCCCCCCACCCATGAGACCAGGGACCAGAGGGAGAGCCCAGGGAGGAGACCCCCCATGGAACCCTCGACTGGGTGAGAGGGTTCATCACCACCTGCACAGGGGGTCGTGCATCCCCCTGCCCACACACAGGAGGGTCTCACACCTCCCCAGCTCCTGCAGCCAGCACGGCACGCTCCAAGGACGCGCCGCTCGCCAGGCAGCAGCTGAGCAGACATGGAGGGCAGCGCAGCCTGCGGGCGTCCGCCGCCTGCCCGGGCATCCCCGGGGACAGGCCGGGGGACAGGGCCCGGTGTGGTCCTGCCACGTGCCGGGAGAGGGGTCACCTCTGCCCAGGCACAGCCCGGGGTCAGCGCACACGTGGAGGGGCCCAAAGGCGGTACGGCCCCCTGCGGAGGTGGTGTGTCCCCAGCGGGGACCGGCTGAGGGACAGGAGAGGGACAAACCCACCCCAAGGACACGGGGCTGGGACAGGTCTCGGCTTGGCAGGGTTTGGGCTGTGAAACGTGGCATCGGGCAGCACAGGGGACTGCGGGGATGCAGCACCAGGGCATGTCCCCAAAGCCCTTCTGGGGTCGGACTGGGGCTGGCGGGGTGTGGGGCTGCTGGAGGAGCCGGGGAAGTTGCCTTGGAGTGGGAACTGGGATGGGGCTGGGATGGAGCTGGGCAGGGGGCCAGGAGAGAAGAGATGGGGGCTGGGATGGAGCTGGGATGGAGCCAGGATAGAGCCTGGGACAGGGCCAGGATGGGGCTGGAATGGGAGCCAGGAGGGGGCTGGATAGAGCTGTGATGGGGGCCAGGATAGAGCCAGGATGGGGCCCGGGATGAAGCTGGGATAGACCCAGGATGGGGGTCAGGAAAGAGCCGGGATGGAAGTGGGAATGGGGGTGGGATGGGGACGAGATGTGAGT